TTCTCCTACTGTAGGTGGTGTCGACCTACATAGGACTTGTGCGGGTTATGACCACAACATCCAACATTTTTGCTTCCAGGACTCACTGCCCCGAATTTGAAGGCTATTGTTCTTATGATAGCACAACTCCACCCCAAAAGCACAAGGTAATCAGCTGGGGCAGATGCTCAGGGCTGTTTTGCTCTTTTCAAGTTTGTCTGCCGCATGTCAGTAAATCACCTGCAGGGCCGGAGGTTCATGAGTGTTTGCGCTTTGTGGCCAGACTGCCATCTAGCAAATTGAAAGGGTTCGCCACCTCTGGGTGTTTTTGCCAGTGTATACGCTTTTGTTCAGATCAGCCTGCAAGTGGAATTTCCAAAGCCAAAGTTCCTGTCAATCTGAGTCCTTGTCAATGCCTGCGCCATACATCGCTGCATTGTCCGAGCCATATTGGCTATAGGCGTTTAATCCTGCGGTGCAGGTCTTGTGCACGCTGGAAATCGTAGGAACTGAAGCTTGGGATTAACCCTGCCGGGCCCTCTGGCATCAGTTTTGAACCGAGCTTTTGGGTGGGACGTCTTAATTCGTCGAAAAAGATCAGGCGCTTCGCCTTAGCCTTGCACCTGATGTTCCCTTCAAGCTTGTCCCTTGTTCCCGGGCCCTGCAGCATTCAACTCAGGACCCACTACCAAGTCCCAGAGACCGTAACCCAAGTCCCTAAATTCCCCCAGTTTCCATTTCACTTTCCATTTTCTTTTCCATTTCGATTCTCCATTATAGGGGGATGCTATCCCAAACCCTGAACCCTAAGCCTAAGCCCTAAATAATGGTTTCCATTTCCTTCTCCATTTTCTTTTCCATTTAATTCCTCATTATTGGGGTAGTACCCCCAATTTGAAAAGGCCTTGATCCTAAAGCCCCGAAGCTGGCCCTACCGCCATGCCGCCCGCATCGCGACGGCCGCCAACCAGGAAGCCGAAGGCAAAGGCCGGTTTCGTACTCGGAGGTTCATTGGACTTAGTGTATTACTTATAAACTGATTATTAGTAACTACTTGTAACTGATTATTAGTAACTTAGTAACTACTTATAACTGATTATAAGTAGGACCTAGCTTGTAACCCGCCTAATCATAATTCTTATAAGGTTCCCCCAAGTTGTGAGTAGGGTTGTAAGCCCAGTTACAAGAAGGTACTAAGTCCCATGGACCTCGTGGTATGCTGCCTAGTGCTAGAATTGTGTCAGGCACCCTGCCCCGGTGGTCATGTAGTTCCAAAAATTCATGGGCCCCTTGGTGGGGAGTATTACCCTAAACCCTAAACCCTAAACACTAAACCGTGTGGTCCCGCATTGATGAAACCTGCCATGTCCGTGCTCCAACCCTATCCCTGTGGCTTCTCCTGAAGAATCTGAACCTCCTTTTGTCCACCGCCTCAAATAATTTTCAAGTGGATTATCAGGGATCCCTAACTGTTGGACCCCCAAAAAAGCTGTGGTATGCCCCTGCAACGGCAGGAGGACGATGAATGCTCCAGCGATGCGTTCAGCGACTACTACTCTGATGACGAGTGCCCATCAGATGTGGACTGGTACTACCCAAGTCAGAACCGTCCTGAAAAGAACTGGAATTTTGACCTTATGTCTAGAAGCTTCAGACCATCTCCCGCTATATGGCATCCGAGAACTTGAAGCTGTATTGCGCAATGTAGCCCGGGTAGGCAGGCCAGACAGGGTGCTATCAGTGCTATCTATACTGGCTTCGTCAGCCTCTCCTAATAGTTTGGGGGTATCAGTCAGGAAATGAATCCGCACCAGTTGCCAAGAGAGGGTGAACATCTTTCCCAGTCCAAGCAAAAGAGTGACTTGAGTGGCAACCAGGAAGTGTACATCTTGACTCTGAACTTAGCTTGAAACCTGAGACTGAATCTGAAGTGTTGCAGATAGATGGATGCTTTAAATGTGGCAGTCGCTGTTGCCGCAGGTATTCGGAGAGCTACTTTGATGTGAGGAGCCGTGCCAGCAGCAGGACGGGTCAGCAAAGGGTCCTGAAGGGCGGGTTTAAGTTCAGAGTCTAGTTTGGGGTTCAAGAGGCTTGGGGAAGCAGCCAGGGGTGCCCCCCCTGTCATTCTTGAAGGAAGCAATGCAGCTAGCTATTACAGATCCTTGATGTAAGACCTTACCTCCTATGTCTGAATGATGTCTTCGCCAGCGCTAGAAAGGAAAGATAGAGAATCCTGCCAATCATGGGCACAGAGACTGTAGAGTGGGGGCTTAGGCAAACCTACCTTGCAGGACATTCAGCGTTGGCCCGGGCCCGAGCCCTGCTGGACTTACTGATGATGAGACTCACAACTTCGTCAGCTTCTCTTTAAGTCTTTGGGGTTTCGGCTGAACACCGGACGTTCATTTGGGCTCCTCCAGTTTGACGGAAGTCTGCAGTCCAGGAAATTGACTGGTGTTCACGGCCACAGGTTGAGAGCACTAGGATGCTGATACCGGAGGATTTCGTTCAAATTTGCAGGGTCGCAGGGGCTCCTTCCCCAGATGCGTTCGGTAGCCCCTTCCCGTTATTTCAGGGAACGATTTTGGGGTCAGGCTTTGTAGCCAGTGGCTCATGCTGGGATCAGCGGAGACTTCGCCACGTACGATGTGAACACCTGATTTAAAGCTCCTTGGACATTTTTTCCAGCATACTGTTGCTCGTGTGTTTGACTACTTGCTTTCGCTGGGTGTCTGAATTTTTTAAATTCTTTGCTTAGAGTTGAGCCTCCACATGTGACCACTGTGACCACCGTTTGGCTCTCATGGCCTAGTGCCTAGCGCTTTTGTGGCCAAGAGTAGAAGTCTAGTCAGAAGTCTAGACTAGCCATCCGACCCGCCATCGTGACTTGGCCGAAGGGATTGGGTGGGACTTCAGAGTTCCTCAGATGCCAGGGAGCCTATTGGCAGCAAAGTTATGTGTCCATAAGATTCCACGACCTGAATAGAATGGAACAATGATAAGAGAGCAATGAGAAAAGACGACATCCCGTACAGGGCTTGCTATTCAATTACGGTCTTACTGCTGCCAGCTTTTGGAATTGATGCTGTAAGGAAAAAGGAATCCCAAAGCCGCTATCTACCTCTTTTGTCCCGTCCTCATAGAGTAGCTCTTGGGCGCCATTTCGTTATTTCCTCGCAAGGCCAGATACAATCAATGATTAACATCATGCTGGTGGTAGCGTCGAGCCTGGCTGCTCCCGCAGTAGCACCCTTGCAGGGTCTGAAGAACGTGATACCGAGTGGTCACATCAAAGCTCCTTTCTCCTTCACTTGTATTCACTTCTCTTGCTTAGGCACTGCAGAAATTGTAGCGTGTTTGGTGGTTGCACCATGTTACATCTACAGCAAACTCTGTGCTGAAGACCTGGCTAGCTTTCATTGACCTCGGACGCGAAGCATGCTCCGGCTCAAGATTTGTACTGAACATGGACGTGAACCGCCACCACCTTTGTTTAAAGCTGCGCGATGGAAAGTATGTGGCAGCCAAGGTAGTACTGGAAGAAGCGAAGATTGCTTGATGTCACAATCTTATGAACCAGAAATTTGTGTTTTCTGCGCAGCTCTTATCTGACGTGGATCAGAGCCGCTGGCAAGGACATGTGTCCGGGACCTAGCAGAGGTCGACAAAACTCATCAGACTTCTGTCTTCCATGCGACCTCACGGGGCAATGGCAAAATCCCTTCCGAAGCATGGGTTCGAGATGAAGTTCAGAGATAAATGGAATGAGACCGTACTTTTTTCATCCCATTCGGAACGGTCATACAGAGATAGTCAAGTTGCTACTCGAACGTTGAGTGATGCTTGACATCGAGTCAGTTTGCGAGACAACTCTACAAGCAATGCTAGCGGCTGCTAGCGGATTTGCAGCCAAAACTGTTGCTGGTAACACGACAACGCAATGCGACTGCATTATCGGGCTCTGCAGTCCCTGGTGCCTCGGCAACAGCCTTACTCACCAGATGAGCATTTGGACAGGCCAACAAACAGCCTGTATCGCCGTACGAGTCCATGACGACCCTGGTAGAGAACGAATGTTTCGTGGCAGGCGAGTCGTTGCGCAATTGCGCTAAGCGCTTGCGGCGCTCAGAATGCGAGTGTGCAGTTGACATGCACATGGGCATGGCGTGCCAGTGGTTATGCTCAGCTGCATATCCGCGTTCTGTAGCAGCGTGGTACAAGGGGTTAAAGCTACAAGACGCTGCAGATCTGATCGGTGCCCCAATAGCAAATCCATACAATCGCCTGGCGTGTCCTAGAAGAGCTCATGAGCTGGCGGCACGTCTGCATCCACCTTGACTGCTGTATCAATAAAGCAGATCGCAAGGTGCGTGTATGCAAACTATTCTGAGCAGACTCAGAATGCGGGAGGCACGCTGTAAAGTTGATTGGTCTCATCAGGGCAGCGGCTTTGGTGGATTGGCTGATCGAAGCCGTCGAGGTAAATGCCAAGAACAAAGGTTTTGGCCATGACAGAGTAAGTCAGGGTGCTAAGCGACGGCGGGATTCACAGAATACGACCCCAGATCATCCGTGTTCCCACCATGTGCCCATATGTCAAAATCAAGTGGCTCCATTTTCAAAAGCATGCTGGATGAACACTGCTGTTTTTTTATATAGATGTGCAGCAGGGGTTATGAGACCTCGCGCGTTGGCAGCGCATTGAAAATCCGGTGGCAAAAGCTGAGCTGCTGAGGGTTGCTGTCCTTTTAACCACTTCACTATCTGTTGTTGCTCCCGTTTGCTTTGACTCGCTTGACATTTTGCGTAAGCCAAGTAGCATCTTCAAGCGCCCAAGCCTTAGTTGGCAAAAGGAAAGAAACTTTTTACAAAAAGAAAATATCGTGTATTTTCCCGCAAAGGCAAGGCAAAGCTGACCTGATTGTTGGTGCTCAGGTCACGCTAATGTCACACAAACAGTAACACCTTATCCTTATTCCAACCCTAGCGTGTGAAGCTCGTGCTCTGCAGTTCTGAGGACCATGACGTTCTCCACCCTCTTGTCCCCAATGCAGATCCGGATTGCAGACCTCATCGACGATGAGCTGCCGATGGAGGCCCAGGTCTATGACCAAAGCCACTTGGACAAGATGTCGCGATTGAAGCCCTGCTTCCATTTCTTTTTGTACTTGATTTTGCATTTCAGAGTAATTGTTAGGCTTTAACTTTAAACATTTTAGAAAACACTCTATAGATTCATGTGTTCTATATCTTCAACTTTTCTTGCTGCTTGATTTTCATTATATTCCGACATAATATAGCTTGATTTATCTCATCTGTTTACATGCATAGAGCTCTGTTTACATGCATAGAGCTCCTACATGTTCACGAATTAATCCATATATACTTACCCTATAAGTCCCATAAGTCCTACATCCCGGTTTGCTCTTGAGCCAAAAATTGAGAGATGAGAGTCTTAATGTGGGTCAAATAGGGGTATAATGGAGAAAGACAATGGACAAATAAATGGAAACTGGGTGTATGTGCAGTTTGGATTTTGGAATTAAAGAGGTTTGGGTATCCGAATGCTTCTGTGTGTATCTTCATAAACCCTGAACCTAGCACCTGAATCCCATGCTTAGATAGTCCGAGGAAGGCCAAGAGAGGGTGGATTCAATAGCTTCCCACTTATCCACTGGCCCTCAAGCCTGCGCCTGAACGTCTGAAAGCTTACCGGCTTGCCAACAGGCATTCAGGGCAGGCGGATAAAAGGTCCTAGAAAAAATGCCTAAACCCTAAACCCCCTAAACCCTAAACCCTAAACCCCCTAAACCCCCTAAACCCTAAACCCTAAACCCTAAACCCCAACTTTTGAACGTCAGGTTGCATCATGACCGCAGAGGGCGCCTTCGGTTCCAGTGAGGAGGATGAGGATCCACCCATCCTCCAGCAGGCTTGGGAGTCAAAACCTTTGGCCGTTTCCCAACATAGCCCCTATACACTCCTTAATAGGGACCCCCACAATGCTCTTGTAATTTCTCTATATCATGGAGGCCTGAGGTCCCTTTAAGGGCCTTCATTTTTTTGAAATTCCCCTGTATTCTTCAAGATGTGAGGCTTGGCAGAGGTTTGACTTAGGTTTGGCGGTTTGGTGCATGTGAGTCAAGGCCTTCAAACTTATTTGCATTGAGAACAGAGAAGTCGCAGGCCTGGCATTGGATACTCTCCTATTACTACCTGCTTGGACTTCCAGGGATACACGCTCAATTCAGCTGTTTAATTCAGCTGTTTGGCTTGCAATGTCTGAGGTCAGGACAGCTACCCTAAACTTACTAGAAGTCCCGGACTCTCTCTACTGGAAGCCCTGAACGGCAGAACCATCGGTTGCGACTGTTTCTTGGGCTCCTTGAGGTCCTACCCTCCAAAGGCTCGGTGCAGCATGGGACGGGCCACTGCAAGCCGTGTGCTTGGTTCTGGAAGCTCCAAGGTTGTACCTCTGCTGGCATGGTCAGGAACTTTTTTCAAGGAGGTATTTGGGATCTAGGGTGTAGGGTAGGGCTCAAGACTAGCTAGCTGGCATTCCCGGAACTCAAGACTGATTCTTATGGTTTCTATACGTGTTTCAGAGAGCAGCCAAGGTAAGAATGGGGCTGACTGCCGGCATTGCCACCTCTGTCCTGAAACAGAGGCAGGGCACAGAGGGTGGTCTGCCCGCTCCAGCAGTTTGGTTTGGACATCGTATACCGCGTCTGAGGATATGGATATTGTCTTGTTTTAGATGGTCTCTAGAGGTGGTGGCCCTTGCTGACAGACATTTGTAGCGACGAGGGACGAATGATACGGATGTTGTGACTTATTTGCCGTATCCTCCACCAGGACATAGCATGGAATACGAAAGTCTTCCGGGCTTCACATTTCTGCAGCTCTTCACTTCTCTCCATTTCAAGCCCCGATTCCAATCACGGCTGAGCACCCTCAGGTCAAGGACCGCAAAAGGCGCAAGGCGCATCCCAAGGCCCGTGGGCACAAGATCAGAGCCTTACATAGCAGGGTTGGCTTCAAGGAAAGGGCAGAGAGCACTGCCGATACATGTTCGCCTATTGCTTCATAGTTGTCGTATTGACAAACTGCTGCTAGTTGCTGGTTTTTGCCTACAGGCTTCATACCCCCAACGTTGGATTCAAACCCTTTTTCGGCAGCCCTTGCAGAGAGTCTGTCAAGCATAGCATAGTCTGAAGCATAGACTGCTGAGTACTTAGGGAGGTGTGAATTCCAAGCTCAGAAATCCAGACCGCGAAGCCCTTCAGCCATGAATCTTCACTGCAAGAGTTAGAATGCACGAAGTTCTGCAATTCCCTGCAGCCTTGGGGGCTTGAAGTTCCCAAACGTTCCCTCGTTGGCTTTTTTTGAGGGTCTGGACCCACCAAATAGAATCCTTCAAGGCTTGCGATCCCTAAGCCCCTAACCCCCACACCCTAAACCCCTAAAACCCTAAACCCTAAACCCCCTAAGCCCCTACCCGAGGCTAGCGGAGTCCTCCGGCCTCCTCCAGGGCTTGAGAGCCTCTCCTCTGGGCAGTCGCAGTCAACGAGCGACACCGACCTCTGGCCTTGCAAGGCTTAGAGCAACAGCCCTTACGGGCTTAGGGAGCCCAATAGTAAGACTGGTAATAATAGTAATAATAGTAATAGTAGTCATGATAGTAACAATAATAGTCATAATGGCAAGAATATTCTCGGTAATAATAGAAATAATGGTAACAAAAGGAATAATGGGTAACGGAACCCTTCATTCAAACAAAATGTAGACTACCACGTGCAGGGTTGAAGGTCCGTCTAAGGATTGGAACAGGAAATGGAACTAACAGATTGTTCAGCAATACCCCTTAACAAAGGGATGTACCGCACATCATATTGGGGATCGTAGTCTCTTATACATGAAGCTGTCTCGGGATCTATCAATCGACGATAAAGGTTGCTGTTGCGGGTTTCCATGATACAGACTGCAATTTTTGGGGTAGATAACAGGGATCCCCATTTTGGGCTCTTGGGCCTGACTAAAGCAAGCAGTGTGACTATACGGCTTCGTCCAGAATGAAAGGCACGCATAACGTGGAAAGCAGACAGGAAGTACTGGATTATCCAGAGTCTTGTGGTGGCAAGCCCTCCAAGTATGTAGAGCAAGTAAAGGGAAGATGTAACCCAACCTAATTGAGAAACAACGGGCCAATGAAATGGACCATGAAATGGGCAGTGAGGGTTTGCAGGGATTAAGGCATCAGGGTTTACCTTCTAGTGGCTAGTGAGAAATGAATTATTGCAAGGAAAACTATTGGGTTTTGAGGGTGGAATAGGGACTATGGAGAGATAAGAAGGACATTGTGGTGTTAGTAACTCTACGTGGAGCAGCCGCTTTCCTAGCAACTCTTGTGCACACTACTTGCAAGCTGCTTCTTGCTTGGTGATGGTCTGGTGGATGAACTGCTGCTCAAGCACATCCTTAGGGGCTCAGCTTCTAGAATCTTGCACACCTTTGGGAGCTGCGAATTTTACTAAGTACCATCTCCACAGTTTCAGTATGTTGCAAGAGTAGCTGCACCAAAAGCACAGTCAACATCTTGATTCGAACGCTGCTCAATCGATGAACGATCCCTCAGGGAGGGGCAGATACTGCCTTTTGGCCCGCAACATCAACCAGCAGAACGAGTTAGACATGAAACTTACAGGGATGGGTGGAGTCATCTGTATCTGAGGATTGCGATGTGCAGAGACGCGTTGAGCCCTCGCTGGGCGCCCTCCTCCATTCCAGTGGCCAGTGCAAGCCATGCATGTGGCCGCTCTGCTGAGTCTAAATGAAGAATCCTAGTGACCCTGCTGTTGTGTTGATGATGAATGCCAGCCTCGTGGGCATCTCGCCCGCTGCATCAAGCCCAAAAGTGCCCAAACGACTAAAGTAAAGGTCGTCCAAAGACGTATCTGATTTTAGGGTTCGGCTTGCAGTTGCTCAATCGCAACAGTCGATTGCCTTTTTCTTTTGCGTTTGCGGTACTGCGAGACTTATTGTTGTCCTACGTCCTGCGCAATTTTTTTCCCCCACACTCCACCCATTCATCTTCTGAATCCCTCATTGAAGGAGATCCTTCTCTTAAAGTGTCAACCCAGTCCAGGAAGGGGATCCAGCGACCCTAAACCCTAAAACCCTAAAACCTTAAAGCCCTCAAATCCCTAAAACCTTCAACCCTAAAACCCTAAACCCTAAACCCCCAAACCACGTAGACCTCAGGTTCTGGAAGATCCAGGGCTGTGCCCGGGGACAGGCGTGCCTTCACTGCCACCTTTGCCCTCCTGGCGAGGTCGGGCAGTGTAAACCTACATGAGCTATAGTTTAAACCCTTTGAAGGGGGGCTATCTAGGGGACTCTATAGGAGAAGACTATACAGGTTAATTAGGGGGATATGAGAAGTTTCGACTGTAGCTCACATGGTTCATTGGCTGGGATTTCGGGTTGTTACGTAGAAATGCACGAGGGATGCCGCTGTCACCAGGAGCTCATGGCAGAACCTTTTGTGAGTATTTTTCTTCTCAACAATTCACCTTCCTGAAGACGCTTAGCGCCCCTCAGCTCCTGAGTGCTATATGCCAAACCTTGAGTCCTTGAGCTGTTCGGCAACATGTAAAGCCCAAAGATCAAGACGAAATTAGAAGGTCCCAAGTCCCGAGGTTAAAGACTGTTGAGCCATGTTGGCTCCCTCAAAGGTGCGCCGGAGGAGGAAGCTGCGCCGAGCGTCTCCGAAAATCTTGGTTCAAGGTTTGAGTGTTTCTTTGTCAGATCGTTGTTATTGGTATCTAAACCCTATTCATGTCGGCGGATTTTTCGAAGAGGACATGTGCAACAACGCAAAGACCTGTGAGGCGGCAGGGAAGGTCGAGGAAGCCTCAATGGGGACTCCACATGAAGTGCCCTCATATTCGGAGCTTTAGGAAGGTCTTCGGGAGTTATGTCTTATGTTATGGGTCCTCATTGTGCGGTGGACCTTTCATATGGCCTCCTTAAGGAAGGATGGGCGGAGTGCAAGTTCAGATACTCTTGAGGAAGAGCTGAGGATTTTTGCCTACAACTGCCCGTTCCTGAAATGACCTAGGAGTTTGATGTGAGCCAAAGCCATCCGATAGGCGCAGGGGGAATTCTTTATTTGACCAGGATTGTTGTTTGCCTTGGTACCAAAAAGTCTGAACCCGATGGTGAGGCCTTGACCCTCGAATGCTTGAGATTCTTATGACGGAGCCCTCTGCTCATAGCTCAATTTTCCTGTGGTCCCAGGTGCCTACTCCAGGTGCTGCACTCGCGGCGGGTGTCTGAGCAATCGGATGGTCTAGAAGATGCACGGAGTGCTGGAGATATCCGCAAAGAGTCAACGGTGGTCTCTCTGAGGCTTAATTAGGTTCGCGAGTCATGGCAGCTCACGGGGTGAAGGATCCCTCAGCAGATTTTTTTTCTGGGACCGTGGGGCGGAGATGTTAGCGACATCCTCAGCGAAGCACTCTGATTCAAGCCTTCTTCAATGATGTATGCAGCAGTGCTGATGGGGACTTGGAGAAATCATTTCATCGTATTGCGTGTCTCTGGAAGATGTTTTTTATTCAAGTGATTTGTCACCCAAGTTGATCAAGCCATGAGAATGGTAGTTGTATGCCTCTTCTGAGACAGAACCGGCGGACGGGGAGGACATCCTCATCGCAAGTACGGATATCTCTGAAATCCTCGACACAACGTTTTAGCCAGGGAAGTCCCGTGCTTGTGCCAACAATTGGCATTTGCATTGGTAACTCCGATTAGAGTGGTTTTGGCAGAATGTTAACATGGATAGTGTCACAGTGAAAACTACAGTGCCCAGGTCAAGCAGTTCAAGCGCCATCGGAACATCAAATACAAGGTAACTTGAAGCCTGCAGCACCTCAATTCCCCTTAGATTCTCAGCAGCGACATGTTAGATATTCTTTCCAATGCTTTACAATTGGTCGGGCAGGCCACACAGGAACAACGTAAGGCTCTACTATGTTCGGTTTTCAAAGGCCAAACAATCCGTGGATGTTGAGCGTATGGTGACCTTGAGAAGCCGCTGCGGTCTTTGGGGACTCCCTGATCTAGATAGCTACGCAAGTTTTAGATGGGGTTGCCAACATGGTGCAGGAGGTTCACAAGGATCCTTTCCTGAAACCATAAGCATCTCCATGTGTGCCGAATTGGTTTAAGCGAGACCCACCCAGGAACTGCACATGACATATACTTCAGACACCGCGCGTTGGTGCGGGCAGAGCTTTGATGCATGCCTTACGAGTACGTATCCTGATCCCACATCAAATGCAAAACGACGAAACGAGGATGACTGTTAAGCCTCCCCCCCCCCCACCACAAGCGCGATAAACGCCGTATCTGACAAGCTGCCAAACACGCGTGGTCCTGCTTTTCGGTCCCATAATTTGAGATGGTGTCACAAGCTTAAGAACCCACCAAAAACTCAGTCATCAATCGCCCTTTGCAAGCCACTAATTAACTGCAGCAACTTGGATCCAATATAAGTTGAAGCGCAGCCTTTTGACACATGCCAAGATCTCAATGGATTGTTTGGATTCTTGTCCTTGTAAATGAGAGATTCTAAGTTTCTGTTTTGCCGCCATGGAGGCATATTTATTGAGCTTAAGGATTGAAGGTGAGGTTTGGGGGTTTTGGCAGAGGACAGAGACTCCAACCTGCGTAGACTGTTGGACTCCAAGCAGAATAATCCCGTCCCGTATATTGAACCCCCACTCTCCCTAATATCAAATATTACCAATATACTGTAATGTACCACAATGGGGAGTATTCAAAATTAGGGGGGTGGGGGGTTTAATATTTTGGGAGGGGATCGAAGCAAACAACAAAGGCAAAGAATTCCACAAGCTACAGATTCCTGGGTTCGGTGTCTTGCGACCGGGATAGGACAACCCGAAAACTTTTTGGGACGTGCCCCACACGGGGTTACACGAGCTATAGGCTATAGTCTAACTCCTTCAAGGGGATCAGAAGGAATTTTTTAGGGGACTACTATAGAGGTTAATGAGGGGAATACGAAGAATTTGGATCATGGCTCATATGATTCCATGTCTGCATGTCTTTTATATAGGTTGTACTCCTGCTACTGATTTGGAAGGTGTGTGAGTTGGCATTGAGGATCTATGCAGGAGTTCAGCAGATGATTCCCTGAAATGTAAAGGTATGGGTGCAGTATCAAGACTTGAATTTCATGAGCCTGCAGCTTGATTGCAGGCCTTTCAAGGCGTGGACAAGTCCTAGATCAGTGCGGGGGAGGTGGAAGAGCCACCGTGACCGCGCATACATTCCCGGCGAATTCGTGGATCAGCTGTGGAAACTTGCAGTTGCACAATCTCAGAATTCGTGGAGCCTCAGCCTTCCGCCCTTGGCGTGAGTTCCTTTCGAAACCTACCGAAACCAACCCCAAATCAGCGCATGTGGTTGAGCTTTGAGGCGTTCCCTTCTTGGGGTCCCCATATTCAGCATCATGTGATATAGTATATGGGGGTACATCACAGGGAGCAACCCTTTTTGAAGCACCAATATCCTTGCATGGCTGCTGGGGCTCAGACTATTTGCAAAAATGTATGGGAGGGACAGGCGCGGGGCGATCAAGCCAAAGCCATGTCAACAATTGCTGCCACCGTGTCTTTTCTGGGTATCATGAGTCTTGGAGCTCCCTTGACTTGGCAAGTCTACATAGCAACAGGGGCAGTAACCAGACATACTGAGTAGAGAGAGCCTCCAAGCAAGGATCGCGGTCGATTTCTTTTCATCTGTATGTGAGCAGCTACTCTGAGACCTGCCATTATGACAGGCTCTTGGGTAAGACAGCCCCTCATGCAAATGCGGGACGTGACAGCCAAATTTGTCGAGCGACGGAAGCGTAGCATGCCTACTTGGAAGTTCAGGGTAGTTATAACGTCTAACCCAAGCGTAGCTGTAATCGTATCCTGGTTATGATCGTTTTAGGAGACCTAGGCGTAGCAAGATCTCCTCCTCGCCTGTCCCATTAGCACTACGGGCACTCTGCCTCCAGCTTGGTCACGACGTTGGCCAACTGCCTCAAGAGCGGCAGCCTACGGTACACAATGGATGGCGGCCTCCCGTGGTAACAAGAGCTATCCGTCGAGATGGCATTACATGGTTTTGAAGACCAGCAATGAGGAAATTTCATTACGAAAGGTTTGAATGTCAAGCCGCGTCATACTCTGAACATTGAGCATCTGGAGTCCTCAAAACCTTTAAGGACTCACACCGTCGACCCAAAAGCCCCACACCATTTCGAATCCTGAGCCAGAAAGCCCCCAACTCCGCAAGAGTCCAAATTTCAGATCCCAAGCTCATGGCCTGTCCATTCCAGTCCCGAAGCCTTGAAGATGCGGAGCTACACGTTCCTTCTTTTGACCAGATACGCTCGCACTTCGGAGTGGGTAGTCCTACAAGGATCCTGCTTCTGAATGTCATGTCCGAATCCAAGTTCATGACTTCTTCTGACAGCCTTGAGAATATGTGTGACTTGGAACCAAGGTAAGCTCTTTAAGCCTAACATCGCCTAACCTTAGCAAACTCTACGGTTTTGACCGGTTTCCCCAGATGACCTCGAACCAAAACAGCCCCCTAGCCTTGAACCCTAAACCCTGAACCCTAGACCCCAAACCCTAAACCTAAACCTGATCCCTAAACCCTGAACCCTTAATTCGCTTTAGCGGACAAGCCCAGGTCGCGATCTCAGCCGCTCCCCTAGCCGGACCAAGAAGCGTTCCCGCTCCCGGGGCTGGAGTCGCAGGCCTCTCTGGGCAGGTGAGCTACAGTCTAGAAACTCCTTGAACGTAGTTACATAGGGGATTATATAGGCTTAGGGTTTAGGGTCTAAACTCCTTGAAGGGGGTTAAATAGGGATTATATAGGGGAGTATGAAGGGGATGCCATGAGTTTAGACTATAGCGCATATGGCCTAGTAGTTCCAGAAACAGGGCGCCGCAATGTAGACTCACATGTAGCACAATCCTTACTTTAGAGACTCCCAAAGAGGAACCCCTGAACTTTTGGAAACCCCGCAGGTTGCAAGTTGGAGGGACATTTTTTTCTTGCTTATGCTTTGAGAGGGCTTGATGTGGACAGTTTGGGCTGGAGCTTTCAGATGTTGAGGCAGGATGTCGACATATGCACCCGTTCTCATGTTCGTCCTTCCTTTTGCCCAAGGCTTATCTGTCCATTCAGGTCCACCTCTTCCAATAAGCATGTTGCAAAGGTCCGGCATTCCAATAATCAGCCAGACACAGAAGAAATTTTGTCGGGTTTCCTGCCAACGTTTAACGTATACAGTCTTTGTGGAAGCCGGATGCTGGTTGAGTATCCTGGTGGATGCAAAGAGGTCTTCCGAAACAGGACTGACGGTAGGCATATCTACCTTTTGACTGCCAAGTTTGTTGGTCCTTGAGTCCAGAGGCACAACGTCTGGTCTGGGGGAACCTGAGTACGTGCTGACAAGATGTGATAATAAGGCTCTTCACTTCCACTAAGCATTTAGGCCCTTGCGTTTTCCTCCTGCAATGCATGTAATGGGGTTGTCCTATACGAAGCAACTTACAGTTGCTGTGCTAGCATGATAGTTCTAGGGGTAGGCGTCTGCGTTGAGGGTTGTCCGTTAGCGGCTTCTTGTTCCTGGGTTCAAATGCAGGCCCTTCTGCCTACAGATTCCCATGCCGGCGCAGGTCTGAAAGAGGAAGAAGCGATGCAGAGGCCACATATATAGTGCTACTCCTAGCTATCATTATCCATGAGGAAGGCAGGGGTCGAACGCGAATGGCGTCAAAAGAAAGTTCGGGCGGCAGTAGGAAGATAAAGCTTCGTTGACAAACTGCTGGGTGCTGAAATTATGCTCCTTTTTCGGTGCTCAGGTCCAATGGGGTGAGGTCAAGCTTAGGCATGGGCATCAAGTTCAAGCTTCGGCTTCATGCGTTTTGGGTGTTGAGCGACCAAGACTTAGACCAGCTAACTGTCCTGCTTGCACTTGCAAGCTGTAGCTATATCCTCATCCCCTCATCATACGTAGTACCAGGCAACCAGTTCAGCGAGAGGTGTACGGACAATGGTATTAGAGGGAAAGATGCAAACAGGGTTGAGGCTGACACAATGCCTGCAATGGATGAGGGCACTGTGCAATCCATTTCATCGCAACATTTTCAGTTATGGTGGCTACTTTAAAGAGCAGTAGGGTATTAGGACCCATTGGGATGGCTACAGTTGTTTGAGCGCGATTGTCGGCGGGACCTGGGGAAGAA